AGGATCCCCTTTAGCCAGGCTTTTTCCAGTTACTCTAATAATGTTCATTAAAAACACGCACAATAGAAATCACTAAAATATGTGTCATGACAGATTCCAACATGGAATAAATATTGTTTGTAGCATCTTTTATACATAATTTGAAGCTTAATTTTCCATAAGCAAACTCCACTTTTAATTAGCTTAATATAGAGTTGGAGGCGCTACATGTAACATTGATTTTAGTCTCACTCCTGCATGTGTGTTTTATGAAATAAACATGTTTCCACCACGTCGTACTGCTGTTGGTGATGGGAGGGGCGGCCATTTTGAAACAGGAAGTCAGCCTTCCAATAACTGGTGGTAGGTGGAGTTGTTTCCAGTTTCCCAGTGGAAAGTCCGACTGGATGGTTTTCCTGTGGATTTATCTGACTGGAAAGTCGGAATTTTTCAAGTTCTCGGTAAACAGATTCACGATGTCAAACACCGGAAAGAAACACCGGAAACGGAAACCCAGCGGCCATTCGCCTCCAGGCTGCGTCACTGTCTCCAGCTGTAAGAACGTCTGACTTCCCTCCATCAGTTAAAATATTCATAATTTCCGATTTTAGAGAACTTAGTTTAGTAAAACTTTCTTGTATGATGCCTGGATCTTCTTCATACCTTATTCAGCTCTACAGGAGATCAGAGCAGCTGTTTATTTTTTCTTTAATCGCAGTTCTGAGTTTCTGCTGTGGAGAAATAAATTCTTTAATCAATGCGGTTAATGGGTGGTAATGTTAGTGACTTGTTTGTTCACCGGTTAAACCACCGTTGGCCTTTTCCCTGCCGAGTTAACCAGCTAGTGCTAACTATGTTTAGCATTCACACTTTGACCAAAGATCTGCACAGGAGTCCAAACGGAGAAGCGATATTTACCGTAGTGTGAGAAATTATGTATGCGGTTTAGTAATTTTATTTTGAAGTATCTTTACTCTTGAGTAAAATTTCTGGAATCTCCATCCATTGTGAGGAACTTTAACCAAAAACTCACCAGAGACACACCTGCAATTTTTGTTAAAGTTTAATAGTTTTATTTTAAAAATAATTTATTTTGCAATATTTTATTTTTTTAATTATTTATGTAAATTATTTTCATTTTGACCTTTAAAATACCAACATTTCCACATAACTTTATACTTTGATTAGTTTGAATTTTAAAATATTAAATATTTAAGGCTTTGATCCATTAATTAGTTCTTGAATCGCCTTTTTAAAAATTACTTTTACTTTTACTTGAGAAAAAAGATGCTCTAAGTATGTCTAAGTTGTGCCTCCATCTTCTGGTGAAACGTTTATCCAATATTTACATGTTTTTAGATGAACCTGTGAATATGGACTCATAATCGCTCCATTGGCAAAACACTGGAGGCAGAAGTAGAAAATAAGTGCATGGATCGTTCAGCTTGGCCTAAATATTTCTCATTTTGTAAACCAGGTCACAGGTTATTCTTTCCAACTCACTGTTGGTTAGAAATGACCAATTCTTACCCAGTTTTTGGTTAATAACCTGGTTTTATGCTGACCCATTACCCAGCACTGCCTGACTCAGGTTAGCAAAATAAACCTGTAATCTACAAAATGCAACAATAAAAACAAACTTATTTTTATTTTAATACCTCAAAGCGTCTTAAAGACCAGAGAGTCATTGAATCTGAACAGGAAGTGTATAAATGAGCAGGAAACATTTGACAGGATGAATTTAACTGATTGATGGAGGGACTCAAATGATGAGGGAGGGATGTTGAAATCCAGGAGAGAAACAGAGGAGAGAAGAGAGGGATGAATCCTGCTGGAAAGAGGGAGAGAGAGAGAGGAGGTGTGCAACAGAGAGAGAGAGCGAGCAGCTTCGGTGGAGCAGAGAGGAGTTGAAAGAGTGTGTGTGAAGGAAACGCTGCACAGCTCAGGATGCTCCCTAGAAGATGAGAAAATGTGATCTAAACCACTTTTTCCTTCTCGTCTCTCAGATCCCGCTCCGGTTTTTCCTTCTTTTTGTGTTTCATCAAGACGAAGGTTGAGGATCGGGAAGGAGCGCCGCCACCCGACCAAAAGGTATTTACTTTTTTTCTGCTCATTTATGACCTTTAATCAGCTGGAGTTCACAGTGAATGCAAAACATTCAGGATGAAAACAGGAGAAAGTTATTGTGGAAGCAGAGATGAGAGTACAGGAGCTGCTCATGTCGTCCCATGGGGTCGGCTTCACATGTTTAATGGAGGTGTGGAGGAAGAGCAAAGTGGGGCATGGTGGGGGTGATCACACAGAAAACTCTGCATTATTACCGGGTTTCACTCCAGAACCTCCCCACTAAACACCAGTCGGTTCTACTGGACCCACTGGGCGGAGTCGCTGGATAAATCCCACACAAATGAGACTTTATTCTTCTGGATTTGACTTTACAGCCGTAATTAAATCCCTGGTGACGCGTCAGGAGTTTGCATCATCTTCGTTATGAATCATAACTGAGTTTTCATTCAACACTCAGTAGGTTATGACCCGACAGCGGCAAAAGGAAGGAATGTGGAAACACGTTACACGCTCACTAAGGCTCTCCTCTGTCGCTTGTTTTCAGTGAAAAAGCACAAAAGTTTCTATAATTTTACATAAAATCTGTAATAATAAAAACATTAGCTGAAGCTGTGGTTCATAGAGGTGGCCAGACCAGGTGGCAAAGTCAACAAAATAAATAAAAATTATACATAAACATTAAAAAAATTATGAAGTAGAATTTTATACATAGACTCACTTGTTCTTATTTATTCACGGGGTTTTTCATTCATGTCTTGATGGAAGAAGGTGACTCTGTGTGCCTTTGTTTGACTTGAACTGGATTCACTGGGGCTCCAGGGGCGTAGACAAAGTTTTTCAGGGGTGGCCATGGCCCATTCCCACGCCCCCCTCTTGGGGGCGCCAGAGTTAAAATGTGAAGTAGAAAACTCTCCACTAATTCCAAAATCACAATGTGATATTAAGTTAAAAAAAATCATATGTTTGGGCAGTAAATCTGTCACACAGCTACATCCGCTAAGAGTGATGGACTAAAAGCTGCTTCTCTCGGCCCAAAATTAAATAAAACTATAGATATTTTTGTTGTTGAGCTAATATGTCTATTTATTCAATAATTTAGCAACAAAAAAGAGGTTTTGGAATTTAAAATATGGCTTACTTTGTCAATTTTTGATTAAAATGTGATTAATTACAGCTCCTGCAATTAACTTGATTAGAAGTTTAACTCGAGCACCGCCACTATTATATGTAAAAGGAAAAAATAGAAGTCAATAGTGACCGACTGTCTAAAATCAATATTTATTCCATTTTCAAGTGAATTCAAAGAAACTTACTTCTGACACAGGTTACCTGTTCCAAAAACAGGTTTTCAATCTGAACAGAATTTCATTCTGGTAGAAACAAAAAAAGAGTATAGCTGAGAGGAAAAGGTGTTGGAGCTGGGAGGTGAGACGACCCAAACGGGAACTCATCAACATCTCCTGCCTGCTTGCAGCTTGCAGCATGTCAGCTGCTGGAGAAGGTGGAAACCTCTCACACGTCTGCAGAGACGAACCGCATGTTCACACCGACCCGGCTGGCCCCGGGCCCGGCAGAACCGACCTGGTTCTGCACCGTTTCATCCTGTGACGCATAATTGACTGAACTTCTCAGGAGCCAAAGTAAAACGAGCAATACTTTAATAGCGCAGCCTCTGCTGGAGAATTGGACCATGGGGAATTAATTTGGGAAAAGCAGCAAACAAAGTGGGCAATTTGGAGCCGAGTGAGCAGAGAGAGATTAATGACTTCCTCACAACACAGAACAATTGATCACAACGGAGCAAACAGAACCACGAGAAGACGGGAGGTTCAATGAGACGTTTGCCAACGTTCAGTTCAGTCCGTTTTAACCCAACTCCAGGCCGCTTTAACCCGACTCCAGTCCGTTTTAACTCAACTCCAGGCCGCTTTAACCCGACTCCGCTCCGGTTTAACCCGACTCCGGTCCGCTTTAGCCCAACTCCGGTCCGCTTTAGCCCGACTCCAGGCTGCTATAACCTGACTCCAGTCCACTTTAACCCGACTCCAGTCTGCTTTAACCCGACTACGGTCCGCTTTAACCCAACTCCAGTCCGCTTTAACCCGACTACGGTCCACTTTAACCTGACTCTGGTCCGCTTTAGCCCAACTCCGGTCTGCTATAACCCGACTCCGGTCCGCTTTTACCCAATTCCAGTCCACTTTAACCTAACCCCACTCCGGTCCGCTTGCCTTGAAATTCCAGATTGTTTAGGGAGGTGTGAATGCTAATTGAATTCTAATCTGAACTCTGGTCTATCTACATATATCAACTTTATTTTGGTAAATTTACAACATTACAAAAATGAAACAAATTAAAAGACCATTTTACAAACTAATAATTCACCAAAAAAGCAACTGGGTACTTCCTAATACTATTCCTTAGCCAGCCATGAAGCTTCAATATTTAATACTGGAGATCTCCAAAAGCAGGAAGTGGACTACAGTGCAGGACATTCTAGATAAATACAACCAAAGCTAACATGTTAGCCTAACGCTAGCAGCAGAAATGGCTCCTGCTCTTTAGCCAATGACTAAAGAGAGCATTATGAGGTGTGAAATCTTCCCGATCAGACGTAGAAGAGCACATCGCTCCACAGGAATCTGTGGTTTGTGATTTCCACCACAGCAGCCTTGGTGTTTCCCCTGCAGTCTGTCGTCTGGCTGCCTGTTTCTGCATCGCAGCAGGAAGACCAGCAGTCGATAACCAGCAGCAGATGTGAGGCCGCCGTGTCCTCCACCAATTCTCCCGGGTTTGAAGACATCATGGCATCCAGCTGAGAAGATGTTTCCCTGACGGCTCTCCGCTGCAGGAGTCCGGCTCCAGTCAGATTGCTGCAGCTAGAAAACATGCAAGAACCACAGAAATGTTCCTAAATCAGACCCAGAGGAGCTGGGAGGCGGAGTGCAGCCGCAAAACTGAATGTCACGCACAAAATATATCATATCAGGCTGTAATTTATGGAAAACACTGCAGAAAATGTTCAGAAAGGAAAAAGTATTACTTGATCTGATTAAACAATCTGCAGAGTAAATATTTTTTTATTGTAACGGTTTTGTTATGATGTTGGAGCGGCTTCTCCTGACTCCGCATCCTTTATATTAGTACATGTGGGAAGGTGTGAAGCTTTTTTCTGTTGGACCGTTTTAAAGTGAAAGTTGAATGTTTTTGGATGAAACTCGTTGACATGGAGGGTGGATGATCTGTAACGAGTCCTGCTGACGCGCTGCTGCCGTGTCTAACAGCTTCCATTAGCCACTTGTTGGCGTCTGTCCCTCCACGTTACCGTTAAGTCTCTGGACGGGGAAGGTAAGTGAAGCTGTCACTGGTGGACACGCTGGAGGTGTGTGTGTGTGTGTGTGTGTGTGTGTGTGTCTGGCTGGTCTGTCAGCTGCTTTGTTAGTACATTCGGTTCGACGTTTTGTGGGATAGAATCAGGATCTGAACCTCCATGTTCTTCATTTGTTGTTATAAAGGTGACTGTGACCTTTGAACTCTGTTTAAAGGAAACTTTAATACACTTCCTGTCACATCATTTTGTGTTCAGTAAAAGTAAAACTGATAAAAACTTGGAAAAATATAATTTAATATTCATAGACTTTGAATAGGCCTAGACAGTAAATCGTAGCAGTTTATCTCATGATTGACTTGTGATCAATATCAATAGATAATACATTTTATAGAATATTCACTGAACTCCAATCCAGAACCGCACGGCATTCTGGGAGTTTTAGACAGAGGAAAGGCTTTAGCTGCTAAGCCTCTCAGGCTAGCTAAGGGTGGTGGAATCAACTAACTCACTCGTTCTTTGGTTGCCTAGCAACAGCCTGCTGGGTAACAGGCAGTTTCAAGTTGCCCTTCGGTTGCCTAGCAACAACCTGTTGAGTGGGCAGCAGCAGTTTCCGGTTTCCCCACTTTGTCTCAAAACTGCTAAAAAATAAAAAACAACGTTGTGAAATGGAAACTGGGTAAAACTGTCATGTTCCGTGTTTCTGTGTGTTTATTTTTGAGTTTCTGTGTAGACCTGTGAGGCTGTCTCTGTGTCTTCCCTGTTGATTGCTCCCAGCTGTATCCCGTTCCCTGATTACCTTCCCTGTGTATTTAACCCCACCTGTTGTCTTTGTCTGTGTCGGATCCTCGTCGTGTGTATCGTCGTTGTCTATGTCTAATGTAGTCAGCACTCTCCAGTGGAACTGGCAAGTCCTGGTTTGTGCTGGTTCCTGTTTAGTCTGTTTTCCAGTAGAACTGTTTAAGTCCTGGTTTTCGACGCTCTTGTTTGATGCTGTCAGTTGCTACCGGTTGTTAGCTGCGTGCTAGTTGTTCCTGCCGTGCTGCCTGACTTGGACTCTATGAGTTATCTTCATCATTAAATTCATCTTCACCATAACCTGGGTTCTCTGCGTCATCTCCTCACCACCACCAACCACACATTTCATGACAAAAACAGGAAACATGATGTCACCAGTTTAGCAATATTTCAGATATTTAAAACAAAAAAACCTAATCAATAATTATCTATATCGACTTATACAAAACTCTTATTGTGAAAGGTTTTTCTGCCATATTGTCTTTTGAACTTTGTAATATTTGTCACATTACAACCACATAGCAATGTTTTAGTGGGACATTATGTGTTTTAGCATCATTATGAAGCAAAAGAACATGGATGCATGATTTTCACATTTTCTTTGAAAACAATAAATCTGAAAAGTGCGTCATGCAGTTCACCAACTTGTAGAATCATTTTTTTTCAGCAATTATATAGCTGCAAATCTGTGTATAGTTTAAAGTAAATAAATAATTTAATATTGACTAAATAGTCCTAATTCCACTGGCAGATTATTTACTGATTATTTCACTTATAACCAGGGAAAATGTTTTATAAGTGAAACAAACTAGTGGAACTGGAACTATTTAATATTATTCACTTGAAAGAAGCTCCTGTACTCTGCTGAAGTCGCCTGTTAGTAACTGAACACTAGACA